ACGATCAGAAAGGTGAATCTTATGTTTGTTTTCAATGTAGTTGTATGGATATTCTTTTTTAATAAATACGTGATCAGAAACCCTGTGTTTTTTTGTGTATAATGTTGTTATGTTAAATATTGTTTACGCCATTGTCTTGTCACAAGCGGCCCAAGCTCATGTCTCGAGAAAAAGCCAACGATCAATTCATGAACGCGTCACGCGTTGTGTGACTCGGTGTTAAGTTACGAGAGGAACTGCACGTTATAGGGAATAGTACAGGGAACGAAGTATGGTCGATTTACAACGATACATATTTCGAAATATGAACATTTTTCTCTTAAAATCTATAAAACTTACTCATACCCTGTGTATCCGTTGTATTTTCTGGCGATTTCTGCCGTTTTAAGCTTGCTTTACCATGACTGTTGTTCACATCATCTACTTTTATTACGTTGATAAAATCTGTACAGACATCACACCAACCAACTCGCGCTCAAAGTAAAAAGACTATATTGAAGGCTTGAAATAATATTGCGATCGTTTTTCATCAAGAAATGGGCCAGGAATATTCCACAATAGTGCAAATAATCGTGAAGGCGGATTGCAGAAAAGCGATTGCGTGACGCTCGGTAAGCTGTAAGATGACATGTTATTATATACCAGACGTAAAAACTCTACAGATTCTTAGTCTGCATTTTGTACCCACTCTGCAGTCTGCAGTCTATATTTTGTATCCGGTCTGCTGTCTGCATTTTGTACTAACAGGTATCCGTGGCACCAATACAGTTTATTTTTGGTTACATTTATTCGCAAGACACATATAATCTACCACAAAATACCTCTGAGTGAGGTAATTCGACATTTTCGTTCTTTCCCACATTAATATTCTTCTCTCCTTTTGTAAGAATGTAGACATCACTCACAATGTTTCAAGTAATCCACCCACCCTACAAAAAAGGAACTCTTGCACGCATAGCATGCCTATGTTTTGAAATAGGTGTATGCCCTTGGCCAGACTTGAGCGCACTATTTCAGTTTCCTAGTCCGACACCCGTAGTATCACTGCACTTGATTCCAAGGATCCAGTACCATCCAGGTATCCCAGTTACCCTGCTCACAGGGTCTAGTTTTTTTTTTTTCCTCCGCCACAAAATGGAAAAATTGCGCAATAGTACCCAGAGGTCATTGGGCCCTCAACACCATGACAACTAACTGTGGTCCATTGAGGTGTTCACATGCTGATCGCGTGTGCTATCTTGATGATGATTGACGTTGTCATGCACGGACAGGGCCGGGTCACATGACGAACACGAGACTTTAGCCCATAAAACTATTTTGTCAGTCATTTTGTATTTCAACGTAGTTGGATTACGATCATCTGGAGCATTATGGGGCAAACGCTCAAAATACTTATAGACGCATACATAAGTCGTATTGTTCGCGGCCAATCCACACAAAAAGATGTTATTGAGCGGTAATTTTGGATCGGACAGAATCGCGAACGCTTGAAAGCCATGAAAGCATTGAATGCCTTGTATGTCTTGTATGCCAAGTATGCCAATGTCTTAGTTGAAAACGTAAACTCGTTGTAAAAAGCAAAATCTGAAATCTGAAACCAAACTGCATATACTCCATGCAATCTATTGAACAACACTACTACCGTGAGACTGAAGAACAAAATTCAAATGGATGCAAACTGCTAGTGAAGAAAGACGACATGTTGGATTCACTTGATGCCAGGGAACGTAGCTACGATAACAGTGCGAATGGTAATTATTTCACGATCAGAAAGGTGAATCTTATGTTTGTATTCATTGTAGTTGTATGGATATTCTTTTTTAATAAATACATGATCCAAAATCCCGTGTTTTTTGTGTATAATGTTATTATGTCAAGTATTGTTTACGCAATTGTCTTGTCACAGGTGACCCAAGGTCACGTTTCGAGAAAGAGCCAACGATTAATTCACGAACGCGTCACGCGTTGTGTGACTCAGGGTAAGTTATTTTAGGAACCGTTGAAAATTTGAACACGTTATAAGGAATAGTATAGGGAACGAAATATGGTCGATTTACAACGATAGATATTTCGAAATATGAAGATTTTTCTCGAAAAATCAATAAAACTTACTCATACCCTGTGTATCCGTTGTAGTTTCTGGCGATTGTTGCCGTTTTAAGCTTGCTTTACCATCACTAATATTCACGTCATCTACTTTTATTACATTGGTAAAATCTGTACAGACATCACACCAACCAACTCGCGCGCAAAGTAAGAAGACTATGTTGAAGGCTTGAAATTATATTACGATCGATTTTCATCAAGAAATGGGCCAGGAATTTTCCACAATAGTGCAAATAATCGTGAAGGCTGATCGCGGAAAAGCGATTGCGTGACGCTCGGTAAGCTGTAAGATGACATATTATTATATACCAGACGTACAAACTCTTCAGATTCTCAGTCTGCATTTTTTACCCACTATGCAGTCTATATTTTGTAGCCGGTCTGCAGTCTGCTGTCTACATTTTGTACTAACAGGTATCCGTGGCACAAATACAGTTTATTTTTGGTTACATTTATTCGCACAACACACATAATCTACCACAAAATACCTGTGTGTGAGGTAATTCGACATTTTCATTCTTTCCCGCGTTAATAATCTTCTTTCCTTTTGTAAGAATGTAGACCACTTACAATGTTTCAAGTAATCCACCCACCCTACAAAAAATAACTCTTGCATACATAGCATGCCTATGTTTTGAGACAGGTGTATGCCCTTGGCCAGACTTGAGCTCACTATTTCAGTATACTAGTCCGACACGCGTAGTATCACTACACTTGATTCCACGGATCCAGTACAATCCAGGTATCCCAGTTACCCTGCTCACAGGGTCTGGTATCACTCAAAACTCGTTCCCGTTTGTCTCATTTGATAAAGAGGGAATCGTTAATGTTTTCATTAAGACAGTATTGCCTTGGTTTTCTAATATTTACAATGATAGACAGTAAATTTCACTTTCCACCCACATTTATTTCCAACCTTTTCTTTTGAACCAGAAACAAAAATGATGTACGTTTAAAACACATGACATCATCCACCCTGATCATTTCAATTGTAATGCCTTCTTATCCCAGCGTTACTTTGTTTCTTTGCTGCGAACACTGAACTACTGCTCGTACTCTAGATATGACAATCAACCACAAAATTCTCTAAACCAGATAACATTAAACATTATCCAAAAAATGATGTGTCAATTCACGAGTTTCTCACAGAGCACTTTAATTCATCAATATATCTCGTTTTTCCGGCTGAGAAGTATTTGAAGCAAAGCCGTCGGTCACTACCTCAAGTCGATAAATAACTTATTAATCCTCTCTTTTCTCTCTCTCAAACCACTTGGTTGACAGAAAAATATTGGTTTCAGAATGAATTTGTGTAAGCAATAATGTCATTACGTTGGTTGACAAGCGGCCTAAAGACCGTCTCCAATTGATTTTAATCGTTCACAAAAAGAACCCAGAAAGTTAAAACGTGAGGTTTTTGGTTACAGTTGAACTAGTCGAGAGAACTTTTATTCATTTAATATCTGAATTTTCTCAAACAATTTGTTCGTAGTCAAAGGGCGAGCGAAGTTTTCATTCCAGTTCTACTACAAATATACGCTCTCGGGGAGTCTTTCCAAGTCCATTCAATTTGGACATTTGTACCGTAAATTGCATCACAGAAGCTGAAGGAATTCAATGAGAAAAGGCCGCATTAAATCCCATTGTGTCTTGTTGGAGTGTATCATTCGAATTTAGCTTTTATGGAAGAAAGACTAGATTTACACACGCCATTGCAGGAAACAAACGAACAAAGTCTCACAACTTCAAAATATAAAATTTGAATTTACTTACAACTTTCCTCGCCGTTTACTTAATGACCAGAGGTAAATCTTCCAGCGTACAAAAATTAATCGTCGACGAGATTGAATAATACTTTCCGTAAGATCATTGACTGTTTCTGGAGAAAACATTGTTGTGACAATCCTTGCCAAACTTTCTTACGCGCTCTCTAATTGACAGGTGTCAGATTGTGACAGATACATGTAAAAATAATGTTTCAAAGTTTGTTGGGAAGCCTTTTAAATCACCTTTATCATTACGCAAACGAAAATGTTTCGAAGATGCATCTCTCTTTAATTTGCAGCACCTCTATTTTAACTACCATTTACTCGCTCAAAAATTGTTCAGTTTACGGAAGATCTTGCCGTATTTACAGCCCTAAATCATTCGGGTTCTTTCAGAAAGAATTTCGTTAAGTAAAAAAAAAATAATAAATATGTTATTTACTGTGACCTCTGTCTTGAAAATGCTGGACAAAGGTCACAGTTTTTTACCATACAGACCTCTCAGCCGGCAAATAACATATATTTCTTCGTTTAGAAAAATTTGAAAGCGAAAACCAATCTCTTCTCTTGCAAAAATAATAGAAAAATATATTACAAAGATATACAGTACGGCAGGTGTCAATGTAACACATCTTTAGCCTAGCTCCCAATCATCAGATGTTTTTTTGATTGATTGAGCACGTAGTTACGTTCCAATTCTTGCCAATTGTGGTCAAGTCCGTCAATTCCACTGTACTTTTTTATTAAATCTGATCAATGGGAAACATTTTTGGGGTGATTTTCAACATTATCTCTAAATTTTGACCAAATATCGACCCCTGAAAAAAATATCGACCATTCAACACCATTAAATAGTTAAATGAAACGAACAACTTTTTTATGGTGATACGACGTGTGATCTTGTATGTGTTTGTCTCTTCTTTCTTCTTTCTTGCGGACCACTTGATCAACTGTAGGAACTTCAGTAACCAGGCAAATGTGCGAAGAAGAGCGATCCAGCCAGAGAATTGGGTTAGAAGGCAGTTCAAAGAAGCTGTAGGGTTAACTGTGATCACATACACTTCCTTCTTTATCTCAAGCTTCTCTAATGCGATGTTCTCAAACTTGGGTTCTGGTCAGTGATCCTCGCTACTGTACAGGAAGGCCTTTCAGCCAGCGCTCGTCCTTAAGAAATTCACTCATTTTAAGGCCTCGACTGACATCATCAGCGGGGTTCAGTTTGCCAGGACAATGTCTCCACTGTTGTGGTGAAGTGACGTCCCTAATCTCTCCAACTCGATTAGCCACATAAGTTTGAAATCGCCTGTTCTCGTTGTGGCTATAGTCTAAAACGATCATGGAATCGGCCCAAAAAACCATTTGTTCAAACTCAAAGTTCAGTTCTCTTCTCACTGCAAGATCAACACGTGCTGCTAAAACAGCTCCCTGTACCTCAAGACGGGGAATACTGACAGTTTTGATTGGGGCATTTCTCAACTTTCCAATAACGAATGCACATTCTACAGTTCAATCAGAGTAGGCAATTCGGAAGTATGCGGCGGTACCATATCCAACTTCGGACGCTTTGCAGAAGTGATGAAGCGGTAGAGTAGCTCCTTCATGGTTAGACCGACTGAAGGGACGTTCACCTTCGCCAGAAGAGGTAGGTCATTTTTCCACTGCAACCATCTTTGGAGGAATTCTCCTTCGAGAGTTTGATCCCACGCCCTTTTCAACCTCCACAGTTCTTGCATGATTTGCTTCGCAGATAACATTACGGGCGCAGCGAGGTTCAGTGGGTCGAAGACCGAGCAGATTGTCGATACAACTCCTCTCATGGTGTTATTTTTTTTAGACTCTAAGACCTTGAAACCAAACGTGTCCGACTCTATGTGCCACCGTACCCAAGTGCTCTATCGACGGGTAATTCATCAAGATTAACATCCAGAGACGAGTCAGCTCTCTTTCCCAGAGGTATAGAAGCCCAAACCTTGCGGTTGTTGCTGACAAATTTCGTCAAGTTAAATTCACCCTTAGCATAAAGGTTAATCAAATTTTCCGTCAGCGCAATTGCACTTTCCGGTGTTGGTACTGATTTCAAGAGGTCATCAACACAGAAGATGTGTCTAAGAGTGTCTATCGTAGCCGGATCAAAATTTCCTTCATTGTCATCAGCAGTTCTCAACAAGGCAGAGTTAGCTGAGCAAGGTGAGTCGGCTGCTCCGAATATGTGTACTGTCATCGCGTACTCTTGCGGTGTTTCGTCTATGCCTTCTCTCCACCACAGAAATCTTAGTAAATCTTGGTCTTCTGGGCGCACTTTCACCTGGTGGTGGAACATACTTTCAGTGTTCTCAACCAGAGCCACATTCTCCTCACGAAATCTCAACAAGACTCCAGGTAAATTGTTCGTGTAATCAGGCCCCTGTAATAGATTCTTATTCAAGGACGTTCCCCGATGTTCTGCGGCAGCATCAAAGACTATCCTTACTTTGTTGGGCTTCCTGTTGCTAGTGACTGCAAAGTGAGGAAGATACTACGATCTGGGACCAGATTTGGAAGCTTCTTCATCTGAAAGCTTGCGAGCATATCCCTTCGCTATGTAATCTTCCATCGTGGCACGGTATTTCTCTTCAAGACTAGGATCTCTATGGAATTTTCCTCTCAAACTCTGCAATCCTATTTCTGCATCCCTTCAGTTATTCGGTAGCTGAACATCGTCTCTTCTTCACAAGAGCCCTGTCTCAAAGTGATTTTCGTCGTTAAGTCTTGTTGTCATATTTAGAATGTTCACTACTCGTACATCCTCTGTGGACAGACCTTCAAAGTGCTCTTTGTTCCAAACCCTTCCACTTTCCAAAACTTCTCTACTTGGTCATTTAAATTCTTTTCACATGTGACAAATTTTACTGAAATGTCCCTATGTTTCTGTGAGCCGTGAATCGTTCCAGTTATGCCCCAACCCAGTGGGCCACGCAGAGCTTGCAATTGGCTATCAGGATTATTTGAATTTCGAACTTCAAAAACTTCATGTGCGTCACTAACATCCTTTCCAATGAGTACTTCCACTTTTCTCAGCTTCACGTCAGGTACTTCAATGTCCGCTAGGTGTGAGTGAGACTTCTTGTCAATATCTTCTGGAAAGCACTTCTCTGCGATATTGAACTTCGCTGATACAGGGCCTTCTATCACAGTGATGACTTCTCCTTTTCCATTAGCGGATTGCAACCCGAATTCTACAACTTCAAACTCTTCATCTTCTTGTTGCAAGAGGGTGCTAACAGACACCACTTCCTGCCGACATTTCAGGCCTAGTTCATTAGCAACATCGGAACCGATCACGGCTCCACGTGAGCCATCGTCTAGCAATCCGTAAGTGGTGATGGACTTCCCATTGAACGATGAGATCTCCACTGATATCACATGGAGAAGTATGGTCTTCTCCTTGGTCGGCTCTATTGCGGTTGCGTACTGCACTGTACTCCTAAGTTCAGTAATGCTCGGATGCTCACCATTCCTTGAGTTTGGCTGATTCTCCGCAGGTTGTTGTTCCCGTTCACGGGTTTGGCTGCCTCGGTCAGTGTCTCCAATGTCTCTTCTTAAGGGGTTGTGAAGAAACCTGTGGTATCGTTTATCATTTCTACATGGACAGAACGTTTGGGATTTACACATGTCTCTACAATGTCCTGGTCCCATACAAACGTGACACAACCTTTGGTGTTTCACAACACCCCAGCGGGTTTGCAGATCTTTGTTTTGGAACTCGAGGCATGAGGCCAGTTCGTGCGAACCTGAGCAACACAAACAGCTCTGTACTCCGATTTAGGGCTTACTCCGTCCATCACCTGTTCCTGGCCTTCTGCCTGAGGCAGAGAAATCAGTTGCAAAGCTGAGGTCTACCTTGGATCCAGAGGAACTTTAGTTCTATTGGGTGTTTGTTTGCTTGTTTGCTCTTGTCTCCATGGTTGGCATGGCGTGTACACCTGCAAATCCTGGGTCATTCTTAGTTGCAGCCTGTCGTTTGAAAAACTTGGCAAGATCTTCCAGACCTAGTCTCTGTCCTTTTTCTCTAATGGAATACGATACGTCAGCCCACTTGTTGATCAAGTAGTTGGGCAGACGTCCGGTGATGAGCTTCATATTCGCAGTTGTGCTTGCTTCGCTTGCTTCGCGTTCATAGTCCCTCTGTAATCTTTTGGTGGCACACTGGAGTTGTTCCGCAAAGTTACGTAGACCTTTAAAATCTATATTTCCCATTTTCGGTTCCACTGTCAGCTTTTCAATGCAGGCAGCCGCGACTGTAACTGGTTGACCATAGCGATCTTCTTAATTCGCACCCTGCAGATCTTGCTACATATGCTTCAAGCATCATATGCTTCACCTGTCACAAACTTCGGTAGAAATTCGATTTTCTGCGCATCAGATAATAGGCCATCTTCCAAGTCGTCTCGAATCCTTTTTCTAAAGACTGGAAAGTCTGCGGCACTTCCACTAAATTCCGGCTGCATCGCTTGAAGCCTGGTGACTCTCAACAAAACTGCCCGTGTTGAATTTGTGCCTGAGTGTAGAATAAATTCAGGGGCTTTGGGGTTCAGTGGCTTAGTCTCCTGCTGACAGTTGGCATTCTAATTGGCTGTCTTGGCTGTTCTTGTTTGGCAATGAGGTTCAAGAGAGAATCTGGGTTAATCTTCGTTTCTTACAACCGAGTTCTCTACATTAGATTCACTGTCATAATCCTCTAAAGCCAGCAAATCAACCTCCTTTTCTTCTAACTGAACTTTAAATCTTATTTCCTTAGCAATTTTTTGTTTTTGCATTTCGATATCAATTTTTTTTCTTCTCCATTTCTGCCTCATACTGTGCTATCTCTGATGCCTTTTTTCTCTTCAGTTCCTTTAGTTATGAAGATCTCAAAGATCTGGACGACTTTGACTTAGTTGAAGTTATCGGTGACAATTTTGGTTCCCCATTGGAGGATTTTAAACTATTCTTTGAAGAATGAGGTGAACTTGGCCGTAAATAATCGTCAACTGTCTTTTCACATCGAGAGTAATCGTCATAAATTTTACTCTAACGCTGTTCGACGCGCTCAAATTCTTCAACAGACAAGTTCTTGAGAATATAACACTGATACACGTCACTATAACGGCCCATGGATGCTCAAGGTTCCTCACAGCTTCACGAACTTCCTCATATTCTCGTGCCTCGGCAATACTGGTTTTAAATTGATTTATGACTGTACTTACTCGAGCCAAATAGCCTCCAAGTGAGCGCCTTGCCTGATACATTTCTTCCGCTGCAACATCTTCCCGGTCTGTCATATTAACCCTTCTCGTTCGCACAGGATCCGAACTTCTCTCTCTAGGGATCCAATTCTACATCGTCAATCTCACCACCATGTACATTAATCTCTGTGTCGCCTTTATCCTTCTTTTCCCGGCTCATATCCGAATGAAATATAGTCGCTAATTCACAATTTATTTCTAAGCTCCAAAACAATCGAGATCAGTTATATGATTCAAATATGTACGTGCTTTAGCGAATCTGCCGTAAGGTTAAATAAAAACTACAACAAAAAATATGTCCTACTCATTTCTTCCACGTGTTATTTGAGCCCGCTATGCCTTATGGGAGGCACAGGCCTTCCAACACTAGAACAAGAAATTCCTTTTCTTTTTAAATAAAAATGTTCAATTAAAGGTAAAAACACGTATGTCTTCGTAAGTGTTGAGAATCGAGACTGAAAATTTAGTATTATTTAAAACTGTTTCTCTCAATTTCAGTCTTATAAATGTACGTTAACACTCCAACGATGCGAAACTTTGGCTTTGAAATTCGAGTATACTGGCCATCGCGGCTGCCATCTTTTAAAATATTCTTTTTCGAGCACAGGCGGCCCAAGCTCACGTCTCGAGGAAAAGCCAAAGATTAATTCATGAACGCGTCACGCGTGGTGTGACTCGGTGTTAAATTACGAGAGGAACCGTTGAAAATACTTACCCCATCCCCACAGAGACACCTCGCCTTAATCTTTTATCCTGATCAGATTCTGGATTCCGACGTCAAACTTGCGAAAAGCTATGATACCTAAATATTTATCTCGGGTTCGCACTTGAAAATTTCTTGTCTTTTAATGCAAGCTTTTCGCCCGTGATTTTAAAAGGAATAATTCCTCCTCAAAGTTCCCAAAATGAAATATTAAGATATTGACCTTGAAACTTTGCCACTCCTAACTCATTTATGATTCGCTTCGCGGTCAATTTCACTGCATCTCTTCCCTTCGATAGCAATTTAACGAAAATAATCCAAGCTTAAATGCTCACAGCAAACCCCGCAGAATATTCAAATTTGGTCCGTTGCTTGGCTGATCAGGACAATAGATCAAGGCGAGGTGTCTCTGTGGGGATGGAGTAAGTATTGTACGTTGATCGACCGTACCACTCGCGGTAGAGAGAAAATTAACCTCGTACCCAAGTTTCTTCCGCGGCCGTGTCCAGTTTGCTTGTTCAAAGCATAGCCAAAAAGAAGCGAACTTGGAAATTCAGGTAGAAAACGCTCGCTTTCAGCGAAATGCGCGGGGAGTTTTGGTATTGAGACATGTCTCAGGGTGCAATGATCTTAGATCGTAAAACATGGCTGAGAAAAATGCTGATCGGCTGATCGGGAGGATTTTCGGTGCGCAAACCACCTCCGCGTGGACAACGGTCAAAATCGGAGTGTGCAGCCTTGACTTCGTCTTTTGACAAGAATAACAGTGATGGTAAAGCAAGCTTAAAACAGCAGAAATCGCCGGAAACTACAACGGACACACAGGATGCGAGTAAGTGTTATTGATGTT